TCCCCCAGGGCCGCTACCACTGTTTCTGATGGGCTTGGCCTTGGCCAGTGGCCAGTCCATCTTGCAGCTGGCTGGCATTGGCAATATCTGACCTAGGAGAAGCTTCTAGCAGCTTTTCGCAGAAGCCACCCTCGTAGCCCCCCCTGCTACCAAAACCTTGCCATGCAAACCCAATACAGCATGCCTGCCTCATCCAGATGGAGGGAAAGAACAGGACAGGACAGGACAGGACAGGACAGGACAGGACAGGAAAGGAAAAGAAACAACTTCCCCATCATTGTTGGGTACTATCGTGGGCACTGTAAAGCACAGGTTAGTCAAATTTCCTTCAGAAATGGCACAGGCATAACTGATGCTGCATTATGGTGGAAGAAATGGGATAAAAGGCTTCTTGATGTCACTTTTTTTATTCCAGGGTCCAGTGTGTCTCACATAACTGGCAAAGCACTTTCCATGGGCAGGCTGGATACAGAAATGCCCCTCTGTCCTGGCATTCCAAAAAGAGGGGCAGAAATAAGCCATCTCTGCTCTGACTGAGAATTTCAAACTACAAACATTTATCCCTGGTGTAAGTAAAAAGCTCTACATTTTGAAATTAAAAACCTCACTGCTTTGTGATACTTGGCTGTGTTGCACTTGATTTCTTGAAAGGACAGAAACCACAGATATATTTTCTGCCTATGAAACACAGAGTAGATAGATAGGGATTTTCATTAATGCATGCTTGGAAACAAATACTCATGGAGCTGAGTTTGTTGACATCTCCACCTTATTTCGAAAGAATTTACACGTTAATTTTATTTTAAGTCTATACTCACCACCCAACTACGCATGAGTCAGCAGTGTATGAACATGCGTCAATAACATAACCTTGTGGTGGCAATGGCTGACCACATAGTGGGCTGAATGAGCAAATGCGTAGGCAGCACTTCATGGGAAGTGATTCTCTTCTTCCATTCAGCGCATGAGACCTTGTTGGCAGTACTGTGCCCAAGGTTGGGCTCCCCAGTGTAAGAGAAATATCAACTTACTGGAGTGAGACCAGTGAAGGGCCACCATGATGGTTGGGTCCTGGAACACACTATGTACCAGGCCAAGAGAGCTAGATTCACTTTGGAGAAGACCAGGAGTGGGGAGGATCTTCCTGCTGTCTTCAGCTATGTGATGGGAAGGTGCAGAGAAGGCAGAGCCAGACTTCCCAGAGATGTGCTGGAAAAGGAAAAGGACCAAGTATCACAAGTTGTATCAAATGAAATTCCAGTACGATATTGTCACAGGCAAAAACTGTTTACTCATTCAGGGAATTTCCATGAATGTAATTTATTTGCAAATTAACAATCTTTTAATTACACATTCTGGTATAAAAGCAGACTGAAAACAACTAACCAACCCTTAGGAAAAACACTCCTGCTTCCTGTCAGACACCTCTTCCCCCCCGCTCCGCCCTTTTGGCTCTTCAGTCCCCTCACCACACACTATGCTCAGCCCCTTTGGTGAGGTGGCGGGCAGCGCAGGAGACTGGGGCCAGCATGTGCATGGTGGTTCCTTCAGTGGCAGCAGCCCCTTTTGGGTTGCATCTCTCAGCTCCTGCTCAAGCAGCCCTGTGGCTCCAGCTCCTGCCCAGGCATGGTCTTCCCTCCTTCCTCCTCCGGCTCCAGCCTGATTTTTTTTTTCTCCTTCTCCTGCTGCTCTGGCCTTGTTTCTCCTTTTGTTTGGTGCTCACCCACTTACTTTAAGATGATTTCACAGAGGTGCCACAGACTCCCCTTCAGGATGAGCTCAGCTGTGCCCTGCAGTGGATCTGTTGGAGCTGGCTGGAGCCGGCTATGACCAGCTCAGGGCAGCCCCTGGCCTCTCCTCAGAGGCCACCCCTGCAGCCCCACTACCAAAACCTTCCAATTCTGAGGGGCAAAAAATCACGATGGAGGCAGTCAAACACTGGAACAGGTTGCCCAGAGGCTCTGGAGTCCCCATCCTTGGAGGTACTCCAAACTCAGCTGGACAAAGCCTTGAGCAACCTGGCCTAACACCCATGCCAGCCCTTCTCTGAGGGAGGTGTGGATGAGACAGGTGCCAGAGGGCCTTTCCAACCCAAATTATTTTGTGATTCTACAAAATTGCTTGAAGGTTCTGGCACCTCAGTTTGAGGGTGCAGTTGAACCCAGGTCTCCAGCCCTCCTGGGAAATGGTCTGACCACGGATGCTGTGCAACAGGGAGGCAACTCAGCCACCTGAAGGAGCCCTGCTTGTTTGTTGTTTGTTGGTTGGTTTCTTGCAGCTGTTCTTGGCTGGTTTACGTGGGCCTGAAGCAGACGATGTACCTGTGTTAGGCACAGGTTAGCATTGGGATGTTAGGAAATACTAGTTGTCAAGCTTAGCATAAGTGTTGGCATAACTAACTTAGCCAAAGTGGCTAAATTTGCCAAAACCATAGGCCACAAGCAATGTACTTTCACCTAGATATACTGAACTTTTGCTGAACCCTTTCCTAGTTAAGTAAAAGAAGGTTCCAGAGCCAGTTTAAGCTTGAAGATAAGGAAGCTACAATCATCAGCAGAGGCAGCAACCTTAGAGATAAGAAGAAAAGCAGCCCACCTAGAGACAAGGTAAAGACCCAATGAAGAACTTGAAGACCCCAGACCCTAATATTACTGTTGGTCTGAACTGCCACATGAGGGGAGGGGAACTTAGATTATAAGAGTACAATTGCCCAGGATTTTCTTTGTTCAGGGTCCCTCTGCGGAGGCACCCAGCTCAAGCTGTTGCAACTCCTGTACCATCCAAATAAATTCTTTCATGGGATTTAGAGCCTGAAACTCTGCTGTGGGAAACCTAGGATGAAGAAACTTCCTTAACAGGGAAACATAAAGAAATGTGCTATTGTGAATATTTACCTATGTGGCAAGTTTCCAAACAATAATTCACTGGAACCTCATTTTGAAACTTCCTGCAAACACAACATAACCATCAGGAGAGAGGTTGTGCATTCAGCCAAAAATATAGGAAAGCTTGACTTGCCCGAAGTCCTGTAGCCCTGCCCCAAGGAGTATTTCAGATTTTATCCTATTAGAAGTTAATATAAAATGCATGAATAGGCCAGGGAACAAGGACAAAAATCCAGATTCTTGGAGGTAAGACTGGCACGTACCTCCTGCTTGAAGACCACTGAATTGAGTGTTAGTGGAGCCATCTTCCCACACCATAAGTCAGACCCCTGGCCTCAGAAAGAGTTAATCGAAAGGCACCTACCTGTGCCCAATGTGCTGGGTACCTGATGGGGTAGCTCCTGCCACCAGGCCATCTCCTACCTCCTGATCATTACCAGAGCTTGTCTCCAACTCCTGAGGAGCCAGAAAGAAACTGGCTATCACAAGTGGTCAATTTTTATTTTCTGCCTTGTTGAGCTTAAAAAAGCCAGTAACCCTTTATGGTGGTTTTTTACAGTGAAAGCATTTAGCTGAACACTCTCTCTTCATGTCTGATGCAACGTCAGTGGGTCATCCACAGCCTGGTCCACTGCCAGGTGATCCTAGAATTCTTCTTGGTGTCTGGCTATGGGGATAGATGTCTCTAGTTTATTCCCAAACACAGGTCTGTTTTTCTCTGAAGTTATCTCCACGTAGGAGAGGCTATCTTTTCCAGCTGCATAACTCTTTGACAGGAGTTCATCAAGTAGCTCACATGACATCAAATAGCTTACCCCTCTCCTTCTGAGGACAGATTCCTCCTATATGAAGAGCTCTTATTCTAACATGATATAAATCCATTCAAGGAAACTGAGAACAGAATGATGCCGACGCTATCAGTTTGGATTCAGATTCATTAAAAACCTTTGATTTCAACAAATTATGAGCTGCAGGAAATAGTGTCTAAGTACCTTTCTCCCACAGAACTGACACATTTTCCTCAGAACACCTGCGCAGGAAAAGGGAATCACCAGGATCCAAGCTGCGCTAAATGCTGGGCACAGTGGGAGATGTGTAATGCTGCTTGGAGCCTGGCTGGCTGTTTTATGCCTGCAGGTGGCAAGCCCGTCTCCTTAGGATGAGAGAGAAGAAATACTTACAACTTTTATTTGCAAGTACTGGCAGGAG